GGTTTCATTGGCCTGGTGGTAAAACGGGGGCCACCATACGAGCCACCACCTCATCTGACTGGGTATTTTCAATAGCTTCAAGGCCGGTAGCTTCATCCCCCTTTTGCAAATGAGGAAACTGAGGCTCTGTGAGACCAGGCCGGCTGAAAGGCCCCAGAACCAGAATCGAGGCGCAGCCTGAAGGAGAGACTGCTTTTCCTTCTAATTGTTAGGTACGCATTTGCGGGACTGAAACCGGGAATCCCACTCTTGGGATGACTCCTGTCTGTGTTACTCGGGCTGGGAGGTGTGCATGTGTGCTGGGTGGCCGGGGAGGAGTGGGCTTGGCAGTGCTCCAGAGGAGAAGTGGCAGGTTTTCCCGGAACACCGATGACACGGTATCGTACTATAAAAAGAGACACGGAGTGGGATGAAAAATGTGATGGTGTCGAACGCTGCATGTCCGTGCATTTTTTATGGAAAACCCAGGCCTTGAAGACAGCTCCCTGCAGTCCGTGGATGTCTCTCATCGCCCCGCATTTACGTTTCTGCCTCGGGGCTGCTGGTGGAAGTTCGGGGCAGCACTCCCCTAAGTGCAAGTCCGGGGCCATCTGGGCCTTTCCACTCTCCCGGCTCTATGTGGTGAAAAGGAACTTCTGAACTGTGTCAGCCGGCGTGGGGGAGTTGGCGCCACGCTCTGTTTGTACAGCTGCTCCCTGGGCTATCTTTCACGTTTCACGTATCTGCGAATGTGCCGGGAAGGGCTTCTGGGGCCGGAGGAGGTGAGCGCGGGGCAGGGGAGGCGGTTGTCCTCCGAGTGCATGCCTGTGGCCAGGGAGAGTCACATTTTTCAAAGAAAACTATATATATGTTTTTTAAATTGGTATTTGTTGAATTTCTATAGTTCAAAATTCAAAAGTCATAAGAGGTTTTACAATGGAATCCTTGCCTCTGCTTCTTTCCATAACTGCAATCCCTCCCTCACACCAGTCAGTCAGTGTTCCTTGTGTAGCCAAGTACATACATCTTTATCCCCCTTACCTCCTTCTTATACAAACAGGAGTATACCGTGTGTCATAGTCTGTTTCTTACATTTTCTTCTCCTTTTTTTTCTTTTTTTAATATATTTTATTGGTTTTTTACAGAGAGGAAGAGAGAGGGATAGAGAGTTAGAAACATCGATGAGAGAGAATCATCGATCAGCTGCCTCTTGCACACCCCCTACTGGGGACGTGCCCGCAACCAAGGTACATGCCCTTGACCAGAATCCAACCCAGGACCTTTCAGTCTGCAGGCCGACGCTCTATCCACTGAGCCAAACCGGTTTCGGTCTCTTTTTTTTTTTTTTTAAATATCACACTAAATGCCTGAGTAATTGGCATTTAGGTGTTTTCAATCTTTTGCCCTTATAGTGCTGCAATTAATACCTTTTTTATGCTTCCTTTTGCACACATATAGGATGAGTGCTAGAGGAAGTGTTGCTGGGTTGGAGAGAACGCACATTATCGTTTTGATGGATGCTAACAATTTGTCTCCTGGGAGTGCACACCAGTTCCTGGCCCCTTAACAAGGCATGAGAGAACTTGCCTCCTTACACCCCCGACACACTATTACCCCGCCTTGGGCCTTGACTGTCGGGTGGCTGCAGAAATGATTTCAGTGCGATTATAGGGGATGGTCTGACCTTGAAAAACCGTGGAACAGCACATCTGCTGCTTTTGCCATCGCGGTGCGGACCCAGTGAGGAGCCTTCAGCCTTTCGGAATGAGTGGCATAGGCATCGAAGTTGCTGTTTCTTAACTACTTATGACTGAATAATAGTTAAAATGTTAAAAAGCAAATGGATGTAATCCTTTTGAAAATAGGTGTCACATAGGTGACATGACATGCAAAATGAGTCCTTATGATGGAACCTCCTCCCAAGTTTCAGGACAGGCAGGGCTTAAGATCAAAGACTCACTGAACTGCAGCGCCAGCAGCTTCAGGGAGGTCAGTGGTTGTCCCCAGTGACCTCCTGTCCTTGGTAGCCTTCCTCTGCCTTTGCCACATTCATGAGACACATTGTAAGCATTTGGAAAAGACAACGCATATGGGGGAATAAGGACACATATGTAACACTATAATCGATCAATCAATCAATCAATCAATAAAAAGAAAAGATGACGCATAGACCAAAGTTCCAATTTGTAAGGGCTTTTGGAGAGCCTCTGAGCCAGTTTTCTTTTCACTGGGAAGTCATGGAGTAGAATTGCATGGGGGACTTGCCTTGAACAAAGGGATATGGTTTTGAGGTTTTTAGATTCCAGGACTGCTGCAGGTGAGTCGGGTATGGTTTCAGAAAGAGGAAGCTTGTCCCCTGGGCTTTACGTAAAATAGTAGATGGGGTGCATGTGACAGGGTGGGGACAGGGAAGGAGTTCTGGAAAGGACTGTCAACAGAAGCTTAAGTTAATTTATTTGTAAACATAATGTGGTCTACCAACTATGAAGACACAAAGAAAAATCTGTTACAAACAGTCGAAACAGGACTGAGCATCTGAACACACTCAGGCTCCTGCTCGCTCGCCCTGGGGAGCTGGGAGCTGAGAGCTGGGAGCTGGGAGCTGGGAGCTGGGGTTGGAGCTGACCCCTGTTGGTCGCACGGAGTGATCTGCTTGCCTGCTCAGTCCTCTCAGGACCAGAATGTGTCCCACAACTTTCAAACCGAAAATACCAAGTTCGAAACATCAAAACACAGCACGATCTCCTTGTCTAGTGTGTCAGGGTGCCAGTTAGGCCCCAGTCCAGATTTAACCAGATCCAGTTTTGTGTCTTTGTCCTGTTCTTGTAGTTTTGGATCTGTGCTCTTATACATCATGGTCTGTGGTCCATTTTGAGTTAGTTTTTGTGTGTGGTATAAGAAAGGGGTCTGATTTCTTTCTTTTGCATGTGGATATATGTATCCATTTGTCCTACCAGCATTTGTTGAAGAGTGAAGACTGTTTTTCCTTCATTGAATTGTCTTAGCCCCTTTGTTGAAAATCAGTTGATATGAGGATGAATTTTTGGGCTCCCAATTCTATCCCATTGATCTATATGTGTATCCTTTTGCCAGTACTACCCTGTCTTGATAACTGTAGCTTTGTAGTGTCTTATCTTCTAACTAGAGGCCTGGTGCACAGATTTGTGCACTGGTGGGGTCCCTTGGCCTGGCCTGCAACCTCTCGCAATCCAGGACCCCTTGGGGGATGTCAGAAAGCGGTTTCGGCCCGATCTCTCAGGCCACACCAAGGGATCCTAGTCTGCATATAATATCTTTGGTTAATTTCTTCCCGCTCTTTTCCCTTCCCTCATCCCTCTGAGATTGTTTTATCAGTCTGTTCCATGTATCCATGCCTGTGGTTTCGGCTCCTGCATTGAGCCTCTGCCCCCTGGTGGTCAGTGTGCATCATAACTATTGGACGGTCAGATGGTCGCTTAGGCTTTTATATATATAGATGGGAAAGTTAGGGCAGGAACGGGCAATCTGATTTTTTCTTTTCCTAGACTGACCAGTTAATTGGATTCTTTAGATCCCTCTTCAAGCTTTCAGCCACATGTTACCTCTCCTTGTTCATCTTGTTGGTTTAAGTAGGAGATGATATCCAAGAAGTGCTGAAAAATATTTGCTGCCAGGCCCCTGAATTCTCTTCACCATGTCAGCTAACTGTGTTCGGACTCAGTAGAATGTATAGAATTGAACATTCGGACTCAGTAGAATGTATAGAATTGAACATTTGGGTTGTGAAAGGATGTGCTGGTTTCTGAAACTCTCTGCTTGGTAAAGTTAAGGATAGAACAGCTTACTGTACTGTTAAAAGATTTAAAGATCTTTCTGAATGGCTATGTAAGCAAGCAAGCAATCTGGCAACTAGCTCTCCCAGGCGGGCTGTGACATGTCTTTGAAGTGAATCTCGCCCTCCCTGGGCCTTCCTTTCCTTGCGGGCATCTGCATCACTGTTGCGTTTCGGTTTGCTAGTCTGGGCATCGTTGTCGTAGTGGAGAAATGAAGGTGAGAGATCTGCTGGGAGAGGTGGAATTCTGGACAAGGCCACTTATCATCACTTCAAGTTACTGAGCCAAAAAAAAGGATAAGTCCATGAGACTTATGGGACTAACGAGAACCATCCTGCTATTGCCGTTCCTTCTGTTAGGACTTGTGTGCAGCATAGGCTCATTCTCAGGTGATAGTGCCTAGAGCTTGTACTAGGAGCTATATTGTCATTAAAGCACATTTTAATTTCTCAGTTGGTGTTGGACATTAAAGAACATCTATACACAGAAACTGCCCTTCATCAAGGGGCCCTGCATATGGTGAGGGGTCAGGGAAGTGACCTCACTGGGAGGCAGTGGTTACAGGTTATGGAACAGGTTGCAGATTCATTCTGCCTGCATGTACTTCCTCCTGAGTGAACGTGGATAAGTCCCTAAATCCACCCAAGTCTCAGCGTCTTGTCTGTAAAATGACAATAAGAACAGTACTACCCTCCTAGAGCTGTTCAAGGTTGAAGACCTGTGTGAGCCCTCAGTGTTGACCTGAGCATCTCCTAGCTCACTCTCCCAGGCCCTCTGGCTTCTCTTTCTTCCTTTTTCGTGCGCACAAGGGCCTCCTCTAGACGTCAAGCACTTACACAGGCAGGGGTTTAAGGAGCCAATTAGTGCGTTCGTTGGGTGTTGTGACACCACAGGCCTTGTGGTCTCAGCCACGACTCCTCACTCTGCTGTGGTAGCGGGAAGGCAGCCATCGGCAGTGTGTCCATGTGTGGTGGTGGTCCATTAACACCGCATTTATCACAGCAGGTGGCGGGCTGGATTTGGCCTGCGGGCTGCCATGTGCCAGCCCCTGGCTTACGGAATCGAACCCGGGACCCTTCAGTCCGAGGGCTGAAGCTCTAATAACTGAGGCAGACCAACCAGGGGCACGTCATGGTTTTGTAATAAATATGCCAGCTATCCTCCGAGCTGGGGACTGCCCCTTGACACTGGTTTACGTCTTTTGCACAGAATGTCAAGGTCCTGGCCAGTCAGAACACCTCACAGCAGACCCAGGAGGGGGCTGAGCTGCGCGTGCGGGCCCTGGAGGAGGAGAACGAGAGGCTTCGGGGCAGCCTGGGCGAGCTGGAGCAGAGCGTGGCTCGGCTGCAGAGGCAGGCTGCTGACTTTGAAGGCGACGAGGCCAAAGCCAAGGACACCCTCAGGAAGTACGAGGTGAGTGAGGCTCGTGGCGCTGGGCAGCGGCGGATCCGCCTTCCTGGGTGAAGGGTTTCAGGAGCGGGAAGGGACGTGGTGCCGTAATGTAGCAGGAAGGGCCCCAGCACTCGTGACTGCGTCCTCTCTGCACACGAGGCTGTTTGTTTCCGCACAAGTGGTTTGCATGGGAGCTGAGCGTCTAGTGAGGCCTGGTTTGCATGGGAGCTGAGCGCCTAGTGAGGCCTGGTTTGCATGGGAGCTGAGCGCCTAGTGAGGCCTGGTTTGCATGGGAGCTGAGCGCCTAGTGAGGCCTGGGAACAGGGTGGGACACGCCTGGGCAGACCGCAGACAGCAGACACGCTCAGTGTTTGGACCCTGGGCAGCGGCTTCTGCATCCCTGAAAAGGCCATCTCAGCACCACCATGGGGTCTGTGATCTCTCATCACCGTCTATTCCCTGTTAACACACAGCTGATGGTGTTTGAAGTCACACACCGATTTCACAAACCAACTCTGGTTTGCCGGGTTCCTAGAGGTGGGGGGCTGTTCTAAAGAGACAGGCACTGAGGGCCGCTGACAGGAAAAGAGGGGACAAAGACATGTAAAAGGTAAGGTGACCAGACGTCCCGCTTTTGGCGGGACAAATTGTTAAAAATCGGGACTATCCCGCCAAAGGCGGGACGTCTGGTCACCTTAGTAACCCCATGCTTTGTCGTAGGGGGAAATCCGACAGTTAGAGGAAGCCCTCGTATGTGCAAGAAAGGAAGAAAAGGAAGCCGCGGCAGCCAGAAGGGCCCTGCAGAGTGAGCTGGAAGATGCTCAGGTAAGCACGGAGGCTGTCATCTTTATCCCTCACACAGGGAGCCCGGCAAGCAGAGCCGGAGGGATGTGTCCAGATGGCCATTGGTCCTTGCCTCCCGGGTTGCTCCTTTGTAGTAACCACTGACCTCAGAGTGTCCACCCAGACCCGTGGGTCTTCACTGGAGGACATTTGGCGGTGTCTGGAGAAAGATTTGATTCTCGCACTAGGTGAGGTACCGCTGGCATCGAGTGGGTAAAGGCCAGGGATGCTGCTGCACATCTTACAGTGCACAGGACAGCCCCCCAGCAATGAAGTGTCTGGCCCCAAATGTCAGTGGTACCGGGGTTAAAAAATCCTGCCCAGCCGGCATGGCTCCACCTATGAAGCAGGAGGTTCACCTGTGAACCAGGAGGTCGTGGTTTGATGATTCCTGGTCGGGGCACATGCCTGAGTTGTAGGCTCCATCCCAGTGGGGCGTGCAAGAGGCAGCCGATCAATGATTCTGTCTGCTCTCCCTCTCCCTTCCTCTCTGAAATCAATAAAAATATATTAAAAAAGAAAAATGCTGATCTCGACATTGAAGAACTTGACGGTTTTCCTGATATAAACGTGAGCTGTGTGAGAAGCTGGCAGGGCTGTCCCCCGGGCCCTGTGGCATTGGTTCTCTGGCAGAAGCCAAGTTTCTCTCTCCTCAGCCTCCAGCGAGTGCAGACCTTGAAGATGGCTTTGACAGGAGCGGGGGGAAGTTGTTCCTTGAAACTAGATAGCTGTCTCCATCAGAACCAGTAGGTCCTTAGAAACATTAGCTTTTCCCACTGGAAGGATAGAAAGCTTGATTGAAGTGCGTTCTAAAAAAAAAGTCTGCCCTGAAGTTCTAAGTTGACTTTGCACAGCGACCTCCATGTGACCCAGGTGTCTTTCTCCTCCTGCTCTCGGTTTTAAAGAACCAGCACCAGCAGGCGAGTTGCTGAGAAGGTGAAAGCCAAGGTTTTTGAGCAATTGTCTGGAAGGAGGTTGTTAAGGTTTTCCATTTTACAGTGTTTCCCAAACTTTTGACATGTGTGTACTCCTTCTATAATTTCCGTAACGCTGAGTACCCCTCATACTCACGAGAACGTAGAATTAGGCGCAGCTAAGCACGGTGCAGTGCATATCCCCACCAAACTCAGGTGCAACGCGTACCCCCACCAAACTCTTCCCGTACCCCTGGGGATTCGCGTACCGCACTTTGGGAAACACTGCCTTAGGAGATCGAGGGCAGGGGTGGGGAGGGGCAGTGAGAAGGGGTGAGCGCTGCCCGCAGGCAGTGTCCAAGTTTGTAGGCCTCATGGCCGCGTTGCTTTCCTTTCCGTACCCAGCTTTATCCCTTCAGGGTGGAGGAGAGGAGCCAGGTACTAGGATTCTGTCAGGTCCCCTTAACTCAGGGCCCCCAGCCTGTCAGCGGTCTCCACCTTCTTTCTAGCTTTTGACAGAGACCTTGACTTTATATATATGGTAAAACCTTGTTTGTTCTTTCCCCTGACTTTGGTCATCTGAATGTCCTTGCTTCGGATATCTCTCCCTCCCTCCCTCCCTCCCTCCCTCCCTCCCTCCCTCCCTCCCTCCCTCCCTCCCTTCCTCCCTCCCTCCCTGTGTGGATGGCCATTTCCCTGTGCGCCTGTTTAAGACTTGTGATGGCTGCAGCCCAGCTGCCAAAATGTGGGGTTTCAGCCTGTGAGCCAGTTGGGGACAGGAAGAGGAGACGTTTATCCTCTGTAGGGACAGAGCTCTGTCACACACACACACACACACACACACACACACACACACACACACACACACGGTCATGCCCGTAGGAGCGCGGGGCGCAGCTATTGCGGGCCCTGCATCTCCATCGTCCTTTGGTGTTTCACACGGAAGGAAGTCGTTCACCCGCAGTGGGTCCAGGCTTCTAGTCCATCCAGGGGAGAGAACAGACGGCCTCCAGGCCTCCAGATAATGCATCCCCTTCTCCCCCTCCTCTGGAGCTCCGCCATGCCTTGGAAATTACCGGAAGTTATCCCTCACCTGTTCCTTTTGTTTGGGCCTGCTTTCCCAGGTGGGGAGCTGGTGCAGATGCTCAGTGCAGTGTGTGGCCATCCTCACTCAGTCCCACAGGGATTCAGAAGGGCCCAGCCACCTTATCGTGGTTCAGCTGAATTATCTGGTCTCAAAAGTTAGTGCTGTGATGGTAGTGCACCATCACCCTAAACCACTACGTTTTCTCTAAAATCTGAAAGCAGATAGGCAGTGCCTCTTTCTGCACGCCCCCTCCCAAGGCTAGCCACTGAAGGGGACTTAGCCCTGGGGGAAGCATTTTACATTTCAACGTCTTCTTGCCTTTAGCAATCTGTTGCACCTTCATGAATGACAAGTTTATCAAGTTGATAAATTTCTCCCAAGTTTAGGCCCTAGTGTCGAGGGGCTTGTATTGCTGGACTTAGAGATATAGTCATGGTAGCTATAGAGCATTGTCCCCCTAACTGCTAAATGCAAAGTTGCCATTTGGGACATATTTCATGTGAATTTGGGACATGTTTTATCAGCAATGATGTATCAGAACGTTGTTTCTTAAATAACCAAAGAGGAAAAGCTGGAGAGATGTGCTAAACAACATCTCTCAACTTCAGAGTATATTAGAATTACCTGGGTCACTTTCAAGTGCAAATGTGTGGGCCCCACTCCAAGAATTTGTGGATGGCATCAGAAAGGGCCAGAATGTGATTTTTAGGAAGGAGGACTGCACCCTTGCCTGATGGCTCAGGTATAAGAAGTCTTTAGGTCACTTTTGGGAATAGATATTAATTTTCAACCAATGAGTATTATTAAATGCCTTAACAGTGAGTCTGGGTTATGAGATATACCCAGATAGAACATTGATTCCTTGATTTTACAGATCTTAATACCCTGCAAGAGAGGCAAGAATACAAGGAATATTTTAAAAATAATTTAGCAAAAACTATTCTTCTAAGAAAATGTGTGTGTGTTGAGGGGGTGGGTGTTGGCCTGGCTCCAGCCGTGCAGGAGAGCAGCGTTGGGTGGGTTGAGCCAAGATGCACCCATCACATGAAGTTGAGTAAAGCGGGAGCTGGCTTGTCTGCTGACCTGGAGCCCTGGGATTGGGATCCAGGAGGAAGAAAAGGAGAGGCTGGGGGGACCTGTAGATGCAGGGGCTGAGTTGAATCCTGGAGGTTCTATGGATAGCCATTGATTGGTTGGTACTGTTGTTTTTCAAGAATTTACATCCTGAGATAACATGTTTCTGAGACTTTTCTCCCACACAATGGAACTATACACCGCTTACCTTACCCTGTGTGGCCCCCTTGGTCCTAACACCACTGTGTCAGCTGCAGGCAGACCGCAGGCACTGGCCCCGTCTCCGTCTCCGTCTCCGGTGTGTACCCAGCTGGGCTGTGGTGGGAAGCGCTCCTGCTCATGGTCCCACACTGAACTTCTGATTACCTTTCCTTAGCACCTTCATTTCCCCCCAACGGCTTTTGTTGACTTTGGATCCCCACAGCAATTAACTCCAGCAGCCGGCTGGGTTGGCTGCCTTTTTGCCTGTAGCCAGAGGGGCAAGGACGCCTCCCAGGTGGCTGTTTGGCCCCAGGTCAGGTGGTTGGCCAGCGGAGCTGTTCACATGGCCTGCAAACCAGGAGTGCCTGAAGTGATTTGGGAGTGTTTTCAAGATGCCTGAGTTATTGCACGTGACAGCAGCTTGTAAACTGTGAAGCACTGTAAACACATAAACCATTGGTATGCAGCCTCTGCAGGGACAGGGACAGCAGGTCCTCAGCGGTACCTGTACTAACCCCCACTCAGCCCTCAGCACCTCCTGACGTTCTCAGGATGATCCCGCCCAGGTGTGGGTCCCGCTGCCCCCTCCTGAGCTGTGTCTCTTCTTGACATCCTCACATTGGTGGTCTCACCCTCAGCCCTTTATAGAAGCCGCTGTGACCTTCCCAAGATACCTTAGGATTTTGTTTTAGAATTGCATGTTTTTTATATAAGGGGCTTTAGAGTATGTGAGGGTGTGAGATGAGAGATCCAGGGAAACCTAGGGGAAATGTTGCCCCCAAGATGGTTGCATTTAAACGACTAGTATTTGGGGCTGAGTCACTAGGTAACCATGCGTGCACTTTTCCTGGCTGGCGCCTCTCTCATGTAACACCTCCTGCTTATCAAGTTGTCACCCTGGGGATTGCCACGTTCTTTTTCTGCTGAGGATGAGTCCAACCCTGGGTTCTGAGGATTACGGCTTCCTGTATTCAGGTGGACGCTTGGCCTGTGGACAGTGTTCTCTGTCCTCATAGATTCATTGTTAATGGCAACGGTCACCTGCCCAGCAGAGCAAATTCAAGAACATTAGGTAAAATGTTGTATATCACAACTTGTAAATTGTCACATAGGTTTAGGTTGGCCTGATGTATAACCAACCTTTTAAAAAAAATATGCCTTTTTAATTGATTTTTAGGGAGAGAGGAAAGAAGAAGCAGAGGGAGAGAAACATCAATATGAGAGAGAGACATCTATCAGTTGCCTCCCATATGCACCCAAACTGGGGATTGAACCCGCATCCTGGGAATGTGCCCTAGCCGAGAATCAAACGGGCAACTTTCAGCCAACTCAGCCGCAACGGCCAGAACTCATATATAACTTTACCTCACTTTCCAAGCTTGAGCAATCAGGTTTTCAGACCCTACCCTGAATCGCCACCCCCAGCAGCCTTGGCTGTTTCGCATCCTTTGTCTGCCTCTACGTGCTTTTGGCCAAGGGCACTTGGCCCCTGAACTTCAGAAGCAGCAGTATCCGTGTGTCTCTGAGAGGGCTTGACTTTGATCCCTTTCCTTATCACCCATGTAACGGGTCTGATTGCTTTGTGGTGCAGTTGTGAAACACCCTCTGCCGCCTGTTCCTGTGCCTGACCTAGTGGGTTGATAACAACACTGCCCTTTCCCTGCTCTCTGCAGGGAAGTCTGAGTCGGGCCACCCAGGAGCAGAAGCAGTTGTCTGAGAAGCTAAGAGAGGAGGCTGAGCAGAAGGAGCAGTTAAGGAGAATGAAGAATGAAATGGAGAATGAGCGCTGGCACCTTGACAAGACCATTGAGAAACTGCAGAAGGAGGTGAGGGAGCAGGAAGAGGTGAGAGAGTAGAGGGAGGGGAGCAGGGGGAGGAGAGGGTGTGGAATCCAGCCGCTCTGGGGGCCTGATGAAAGCTAAGGAACCTGCAGTCATGTGAAAGCACAAACGCAGATTCCCTGGAACAGCTCATTGGACTTGTTGAGAATCCCAGATTCAGCCAACTAGGTTTAGACTGTGCCAGTCCCTCTGGATTCTGGGCCTAGCTGCTTCCCAGTTAGAGGGGGCTACACCTGGACAGCACATGACTAGATGCTTTGCAAAGTCTTTGGAGAAGCTGTAAGGGGAAAGAGGAGGAGATGCTACCTGTTCATGGGCTCCAAAGCTAGCTCCCCGGCTCCAGATGGAGCATGCAGGTGGGCTCACCCTGTGTCACTTCTTCCAGATGGCTGACATTGTCGAGGTGTCCCGCACATCAACGCTGGAGCTCCAGAACCAGCTGGATGACTACAAGGAGAAAAATCGCAGGGAGCTTGCAGAAATGCAAAGGCAATTGAAGGAGAAAACCCTAGAGGCAGAAAAGTCCCGTCTGACCGCTTCAAAAATGCAGGAGGAGGTAATGCCAGGCCAGACCAGCTCCTGGTTCTACCTTTATTCAGAGTACCCTTCCAGACTGCACTTCTTCTAGGAAGACTGGGGGTGCATTCTTAAGACAACATCCATGCTTGATTCCTCGTCTTAAAGCTCTGGATGGTTCCATGGGGTAAATGGTTTTCTAAGATACGATGCACCCAGGGCCTCGGAGGTGAAATTGACATGACTGTAACTTGACCATTTCCTTGACGAATCCAAGATTTTCTGCCTAAAAAGATGAGCTGCCATTTATGGAGCACCAGTTGTGTCCAAATGATTCATATATATTAATGTTTTAATTTAGTCCTAGAAATGAATTACTACATGGGATTATAGTAACCATGGTGTTCTTTTTTTCTGCCATTCTTAGAAAATACAGACTTTTGTGGGAGTGGTAGACAAGAGTTTCAGAATAATGAAGACAAAAAGAAATCTTTAGGAATTTATGAGTATTGGAATTATTAAAACATATTTATGGTTTTACATGAAGAATAATAGAACAAAGTAACCCAACTGTTAGTTCCCTTAAGTCTGGACTTCTGAAGGACTGAGAAACATAAAGGAAATGGTTTTGATTATTTCAGTGGAAAGCTGAAGGCTTCGAAATGCGCATACAGTGAATGCTGATTGCTGTCTGTGCTTCTCACCAGCTGCATGACCTTGAGCACATTGCCCCAATTTTCTGAGCATCTGTTTGTTGTTCCCTCTTTAAAAATATACAAAATAGTAATGATTTAATAATTAACATGCAAGGCTATATAGCAAAAAGTCTGTATATCCTGAATACTAACATTATTTTTATTTTTATTTTTTATTCTAAGTCTTACCTTTTTTTTCCTTTTTTTTCCTTCCATAAACACTTTCAAGAGCACTAAGATTTCACAGGAAAACATGTTTTTCTTTAAAAAACAAACTTTTAACATCTTTGGTGATCAAAGAAAAGTAGCCCATGAGTCAGTGTTAAGTGTGTGGGAGAAAATGGATGCTTATCACAGAGTTCTAGAACACGTCTGAAAGCATCCTGGGAGCACGCCCCCCTGACGCAGGTCATAGGCTACAGGAATCCAAGGAAAAACTGAAATTAGCTCATTGACATCACAGTTCTCTTTGGCATTAAAAACTCGTTCCATTCTACAGCAGGTGGGCGGAGGATTCAGATATTCACCAGGATAACAACAAACACCTGGTATGCAGTTTATTTTTTTTAATTAAATATATTTTATTTATTTTTTATAGAGAGGAAGGGAGAGAGTTAGAAACATTGATGAGAGAGAAACATCAATCAGCTGCCTCCTGCACAACCCCTACTGGTACATGCCCTTGACTGGAATCGAACCTGGGACCTTTGGCTCAGTGGATAGGGCGTCCGCCTGTGGATGCTCTATCCACTGAGCCAAACCAGTTAGGGCTAGTCTGCAGTTATGATTTCACTCATAGTATCAGAGTGACCCTTGCAAACTGCTTCTGTTGCCCTTCCTTCCCTTCTTCCTTCCGCCCTTTCTTCCTTCCTCTCTTCCTTCCTTCCTTTCTTTTAAATTTTTTTTTTTTAATTGATATCAGAGAGGAAGGGAGAGGGAGAGAGAAAGAGAAACAATGATGAGAATCACTGATTGGCTGCCTCCTGCATGCCCTGGGGATCGAGCCCACACCCATGCATGTGCTCTGACCAGGAATTGAACTGTGACCTCCTGGTTCATGGATGGTGCTCAACCACTGGACCACACTGGCCGGGCCCTTCTGTTGCCTTTTCTACTACTAGTTCTTCTGCTGGAATCTTCATTTTGGAAGGAGCCTTAGTGATGTCCTAGTTGGATAAGGAAACTGAGGTCCAGAGAGGGTAGTTAAGGTCAGACGGAGACCAATGTTGTCTATAAAACGGCCCTAATGAAAAAAAGGATTCCTTGTGATGAAAACAAGATGGTAGATTTTCTCAGGGGTGAAGCCCTATGAGACTGTTTGCATTTGAATGGCAGAAATGGACACCTCATCCTTCTGGAAGGAAATGACAGAACCTCCTGAGTCCAGCTGCTGGGCTCATGGAGTTAAGACAAAAGTGAATTAACAAGTGAAGATCACTCAGGATCCTTAAAAACTCAAACTCAACTCTGTTCACTTATCTCTCCCCCCCGCCCCCCCAACTAAGTAAAAAAAAAAAAAAAAACACACACACAAAAGCTACAGGGTCCACCCAGATGCAGTCATACTTCCTTTGTTTTGAGGAAATAGACATTTTACCCATTTTGTCTTCGGTCTGCAGCTAGGGAAGTTCTGATGCAGGTAATCTTTAGAGAGTGAAGACAGAATGCATTATTGTTCAGTTTATCTTCTAAATCTCACTTAACAAAGGGCAGGTTTAACTCTGGGAAGACAGCAGGAGTAGGTTCAACAGTTACTTGCTTACTTGTGATTCCAGGTGCTATACACATGCTCTCGTGCATGTGCTGGTTAAGTGCTCTCAGTATGCAGAGCCCTGGAGATGTCCCAGGCTCATCCTGGTGTGGTGGAGGGATGTACTGGGCGGTGGGATGAAGGGCTGTGCTGAGAGCAGCCAGGAAACGCAGCCTGTCAGTTTTTCTGACTCTCAAACCTGTGTTTTTTTCTGAGATTATTTTTTTATTTTTATTCGCATCACAGTTCTAGATGGTTTTAAAATTGTTCCAGTGTTGCAAATTAGAACACTGAGGCATGGAGAGATTATATTTTTAAGACGTTTTTGGAGAGATTTCGAATGAGTAACCCTGACCCTAACCCTAACTCTAACCCTAATCTTAACTCTAACCCTAACCCTGATCCATCATCCCTTTTTCATGGGACGATGTTCCCTTGTGTTTTCACTACAGTTTCATTTCACAGCCGTCTTTTCACTCAGTTTCCACCAAAACCAGGGTTTTCACCAGGAGAGGTCTTCATAGAAATGCCGGGTGATCCGTCAGCCACCAAGAGAGGAACAATATCTGAAAGTTTCCCCACTGATCTTTCTAAACTAGTCTAACCTATTGGGTCCACTGACCCTCCCAAGAACATCTTTTCTGTGAAAATCTTCCCAAGCAATAGTATTCTTTCATGGAGTTTGTCACTGACCCTCATTTACTTCCTGAAGGAAATACCCTCCGGGGTAGTCTCCCTAAGACTGCTTTCAACCTTCTCCAGGAGGGTAGGAAGTTGAGAACAAAACGGGCAGCCTTGGGCTTCACCGAATCTGTCCACACAGTGGTTTCAGTAACACCTGGTGTGTGCGCAGGTGGCTGGTCCCAACCGGGAGATTCCAGAGAAGAGGAAAACCAGGACCATCCCTGTGAATCAAACTCTCTTGTCTGTGCAGCCTTCAAAGCTGTTAGCTCAGTGCCACCTTGTGGATGAAAGGAGCACTGTCAGTTATGACCACTGATTTTTCTTCTAGAGAACCATGATTTTCACCTCACTGGTGTATTTATATTACTAGATTTTGTGCATGCAGGTTGCTTTGGCAGGGACTGGGCGTCCTTATTTTTGTTTTTATTTCCCCCTAACTTTAAACCTCTACTGAAATGATGCTGATCCAGGCAGGTAATCAGTTATCCCCTGGAAGCCCTTACCTAGCTCAGTGGCTTTCAGAGTTTCTGATTATGTCCGAAGGGGAGACATACCTCTTGCATTGCAACCAGTGATACATCCCTACAGGTATGTGAATATTTAGTGCAAGAGTTTCACAAAACATTATTTGTTTGTACTCTACTCTGAGTATTCTTTTATGTTTAATTTTAAAATCCTGGCTAACATCTACTATATTAAATGTATAACCCAATGGGTTGCTACCTGTAGCTGGAAAAGGTCCCCCCCCCCCCCTTTTTTTTTAATTATAGAAGAGGAACCTGAGGCCCCAAGGCCGGTGACCTCAGTAGTGGGGCCCAGCTGCTCCTCCTTGGGCTCTGCTTGCTCACTGTCAAGGGCTCTGTGCCTTGACGTGCCCCAGCTGAGCAGCCCCTTCTCCTTCTAGATGCACCTGATGGAGGAAGAGTTGCGGGACTCCCAGAGAGCTCAGGATGAGGCGCTCACAAAGAGGCAGCTCCTGGAGCAGACGCTGAAGGACCTGGAGTACGAGCTGGAGGCCAAGAGCCACCTCAAAGACGACCGCGGCAGACTTGTCAAGCAGATGGAGGTCTGTGGGCCACCTGGGCGGCCAGGGTCTGCGAGGAGCGGGAGGGGGACACGAGGGAAGCAGCCTCGCTGCGCAGACCTCGGCCTCTGGGGAGTCTGTGCTTTTTATTCTCTCAACCAGCCAGAGGTCAGGAAGGCCGTTTCTTATCTTTTGTATGTGCCCTGTCCGGGAATTGAACCCTCAACCTTTTTGGTGACCGGGAGGATGCTCCAACCAACTGAGCCACCCAGCCAGGAAAGGAAGGTCATGTCTTGACCTGGGGCATCAGCGCTGGAGGGAGTGATGGAAGTAATTTAGCCTGGTGTCCTCATTCATTGCCTTGAAGAGGAAGCAAAACAGAACCCCCGGGAGGCTAAGGGCTTTCACACAGGGAACATAGACAGTTCATTTTCTGTGTGCTGCGTTGGGCTGCGCTGTTGACTACAAAGGAGATGAGACTGCTGCAGATCTGGGGAGGGGCCGAGCGGTGCTGTGAGGCCAGACTTTCTACGTCCTAGATCCGTTCTTGTCTGCCAATTTTGGCCCATTTCCCCTTGCAGATGACCAACTTGGCCAAAGCTAGCAGCAACCGGCTCATTTCACTTTTGCACACACAGTATAAACACAGTCCAAGGCAGGATGTCAGAAAGTGCTCAACGGAGTCACCAGCTGGGGGAGATCTGTTCACAAGATGAAAGTGCAACAGATTAGGAAAGTGAATCAAGTCATAGAATCTAAATAGGAATAGTCTACCAAGAATGGCAGGAAGAAACTTAATATCAGGTCACCTGAATTTATGGAAAAGAATAATCCTCAAGAATAAAATCAATGCCAAACCAGAAAAACCCTCCATTCCCCTTTCCCCATACCACATCCCACATCCCAGTGAAATTTGTAGCGGGAGAAAGAGTCTTAAACATCCGCCTAGATCTATGGGAGAAGATAAAATTGCCAAGGTTTTGATGAAGGGCAGCGAGTGCTCACGGCCACAGAGAGAGCTTAAATTTAAAATCAATGGAATTCCTGATTCAACTTTGCAAATAAATAGAAATAACTTTTAAAACCTCCAGGGGCTTAGAGGCAGTTCGTATCTAGGGAGTGATGTTTCAGCCATTAAAGGTTTTATTAGAAGGGTGCTTTTCAGAGGCTGGGAGAACCTAGTTAGTTTTCTAGGGTTGCTCTGTGTTTTGCTGATGTCCTGGTTTTGATTTCATTAGGGGATATCATTTTAAGGTAAGCTCCATGCATCCCAGTTAACTAGGAAGTAGTAATTCTGGGCCAAATGATTTGGTTGAAAGCAAGCTAAGGTCTCGTCAGGCAGTAGACCAAGAGCCTTTGGTGTAAGGACCCTGGGCCTGGCCCCTTGAGCACCCCGGCTGGGTTCTGTATGGAGCATGTGCGAGGCAGGAAGAGAGCACCGAGAAGAGCCGCTTTCAGCTAAACATTGGGTTGTCAGGTCATCCCTTCTAGAATATTCTGACTAAAACGAACAAAAAGAGCATTGACTTTTGCTAACTCAAGGTCTGCAAGCAATGGCATAGCTAAGCTTTGTTTGCCCCTCTGCGATATTTTAGGTATTTCTCTGTTAATTACAAAATGAATGGCTCTCAAGGGCCTAGCCTGAGAGGCACCCTGCAGGGGTATTTCCTCCCCTAAGAGCCAGCTGGCATGCTGTCTTGCGGTGATAATATCTTGCCTGTTCCTTTACCAGCATTTCCGTTAATCCTCAGGACTCAAGAGCGCTCTCAAGAAGAGCTTTTTTGGTAAATTCGGAAACTCAGGTGGTAGGCGGTCTTATGTAAATGTGGCCCTTGTGGGTCTGTGGTTTCCCAGCTTGAGTGAAACTGGCCTCAGAGGGGTTGGCACCACTGAACAAATAGGTTTGGTGCTGAGTCAGCTGTGCTTCCTGAGTTGGGCTTCGGGACCCTTGGCTCCTATGAGAGAGCTGTCCAGGATCCCCACAGATTTCCGTCAGTAACAGGGAAGGCAAGCATACACATTTAGTCATTCACATGGATTCTGTGACTTCTCTTTTTGGCACTTAGAGAGGCACCCATAGCTTGCCAGTCAACTTAGACGATGGCAGAGACAGTATTTATGTGCAGATGCCTCAGACTCTCGTGTTTAAAAACTCTCAATGCTGGTTGCTTGTGTGTGTGTGTGTGTGTGTGTGTGTGTGTGTGCACGACTCTGAGTTAACCCAGACATATGACAAATTGGTTAGTGGTAGTAGAAACACATGCATAAAGTCCACATCCCCAGTCTAGGTAGGTGGTTTGTGTAAAAAAAACCTTTTTTGTATACAAAGATACTTTGCACTTCTTTTCTCTTAGTGTTCAATGATGTTCCATTAGGAGCCAGCAAGGAAGGCAGGAATTACCCTTCTTCTGTGACGGTTCGCTTGGCAGAATGGGCCATACTGTGTTTACGTTACGCTGGGCCCGCAGAGCTTGGAAGCAAGAGGCAGGTGCAGAAAGGCTGTTATAGACTCTACTCCTGCAAGGCTCTTGGGAACCCTGAGCAGGAGGAAGGCAAAACATTGTCGTGAGCTTGGAGTGTTTAGAGGCATTTGCCTTGGATGATATCTCATTTCCCACACGTAACGTAGATGCCTTAGGCTAAGGTAGATCTTAGCGGTTATTGCTTCATAAGGAGGAAACGGACTTGAAAGAGATGTACTTAAATATCCTCAGTGCTTATGTCAGGGTCTGGGGTGATATTTTCCTCCTTTAACGTATTTCCTAACTGCACAATTACATTTTACAGCATGAGAGCAGTAAAACACGGATTTAAAATACCTGCTTGGGCAGCATGAGAAATAGACACATTCTTTCCCAAGCCCTGAGGACACTCAGCTCTGACAGTGCCCCATGGGGGTTCCTTCCACAGGGCACTCCTTGCTCCTGACCCAGAGCCAGGTCAGGGTAAGTCAGTGGGCTGTGCTTGTGTCTTCTTTCTTAGGATAAGGTGTCTCAGCTGGAGCTGGAGCTGGAAGAAGAAAGAAATAACTCGGATTTGCTGTCTGAGAGGATCACTCGGAGCAGGGAGCAGGTACTGCACATGGTGGGACGATGAGGGGGTTGTCCCTCATGGAAAAGGAAATGAGAGAGGTCAAACCTGAGGATTCGGCTGGAGGAGGGAAGAAAGCTCATGCCTATGGGAACGGCGGAAGAGTCGTCACCATAGGAAGCTACGAGACGGGAGGTGTCATATGTAACGTGGAAGTCTCTTGAGTGGTTGTGGATAACAGCCTCAGCCATCGCAGGCGAAGTGCTTTCAGAGCCGAAGCTCTAAGAGTCATTAGTTCAGCAAGCAATTGTGGGAGATTCGGTAGCTGCACTACGTGAGTGCGATGGGAAATCAATGATATGATGTAGGCTTTTACTTTAAGGACTTTGCACGCTAATTGGCGATATATAAACCTATGAGGCATTCACAGCACAATAGCAGTACCTTCCAAGCGAATGCTTTCTGCAGTTTTGAAAGGAGTTTCACTACATTTGATCCTTACAGCCACCGGGGTGGGGGGGTGGGGGGGGGAGTAGGGGGGAGACAGCTGGGCACAGTTCACCCTGTCCTCACCCTGTAGGTAATGGAGCTAATTTTCCAAACTACACTTAGTGTAATTGCAAGACTTTTAGATTGTGTTTCCATGTTTAACTAAGGCAAAGTTCAGAGTGGTTACGTCACATCCTGGAGACGCAGTATCACCTCACTAGAGCCTGGTGGCCACATCCCCACTGCCTGCCCAGAGCACCTGGGAGAGAAAATGTGTGCACGCTGTGATTTGGAGAACTTCTGTTCGCTCATTTCATTTACATGATGCCTGAGGGTGCCTGGAGAAACCTCTCATGGGACGCACTTTCAGTGACTACTGAGTAGTACGCCCTGCTCCTGAGGATGGTGCTGGGGAAACTGGACAGAGACATTTAGAAAACTCGCCACTTTGATTTGCTTTAGGCTAGTCTTAATTAAACAATGCAAACAACACCTAAAAGCCTTGGGCGACACTGAGTAAAATTTAGGAAATTATCTGTATAAAGGATTGACTTAAAAAAAAAATCTGAAATACAAATTAATTTTTGCAAAATCTTCCTTCTCAAAGAAGCACTTTCCTCTGACCTCTCTTACGCATTTCACGTTCACCACCGTCCCCCATCTCAGGCTGACCAAGAACTTCGGGTTCCGATGCTGAGGGATGGTGCCATTCTGAGCTGGTAACTTCTACTCAAGGCTGGAGGGGAGTCACTGGCTTCTTTCCCATCCGCCATTGTTTTCCTGCTGACAGGTTCTTTACAATCTAACAAGGTGGTCACACTATGCTGCTCCTGAGCGTGAGGGAAGTTCCACCCATAGGCTCCATCCCCCTCCCCACTGAGCCCAGTGTTGTACTAGCGGCCTCCCCCCTGGGCAGGGTGTGTGTGTGCGTGTGTGTGTGTGTGTGTGTGTGTGTGTGTGGCCTCCCTCCAGCCTGAGTGGCAGCACTGTAGAGAAAGACCTTCGTGAAAACCTGAGGGCCAGATGGAGAGCCCAACCATGACCTTTGTGCCCTAATAGGCTCTTACAAAAATTTTATTAATTTTCTTGCTGGTAGAAAAGCTGTTGTGTTACCCAACTGACTAAGTAGCCTCATTACCACAGGGCATTTCGGGATCTGCCAAACATTGATGATGAGAGAAGAAGTGGCCATAACTTTGTTTTGCCAGTGCTTCTTGTGACACCTGTGCAAAGAGGAATGGTAGGAAAGCATGCCATCCTGTCAGTAACCAGGCGGTTAAAACAGACTTCCGACCCATGGCCTACACCCAAACAAAACACAGACAAGCTGACCCAGAAGATGGCTGCCTCCCGTGGTCAGCTGATGGCCCCACCCTCAGAAATCAACCCCGAGGAGCCATTTGCTTTTGGCGCCTGGTCACTGTTCTTCTTGAGCTCTGGGGTCCTGGGGAGCAGAACTGCTCTCTGTGGCCATGGTTGAACATATTCTCACTGAGCCAAGGGCCTGAAGTTAAGCTCAGGGAGGATGTTATGGGAACTAACTTGGCTTACCGGGAAGAGCACTGGGCTCTGAGTCAACTCGTCTCTAGCCTGTCCTTGAGGTACTGTGCCTTGTTTGAAGAGATGGTGCATGTCTGAAAAGTGGATCTAACAAGAAAAAGCAATAGATAACTAAATGTCAAGTGAAGGGTTCAGGCAGCTGATGAGGAAAAGACCATCATAACAAGACGGTGGGAAAGTTCCTAGAGGAAGGTGGGCCTGGAGTTATCTTTGAAGAAAGGGTCTGATTCAGACATGAAGAGGAGTGGGAAAGGAATCCTAGAAAGTACAAATGTGAACCAGGGTTGGGAGGTAGGGGCACTATGGCTTGATCAGGGCTCTGGTTTCCTACAGGATTAACAGGACAGGTAGGTTGAGAGTTTTGAATGGACTCTATGCTGACAGCACCAGGGACCACAGTAGGTCATTGGACAGAACAATGAAGTATACACAGTGTTCGAGATTACTGTAGCTGGGGTGGGGGTAAGGACAGGAGAAGGGGAGACCTGGAGGAACCTCATCTGGGCTGTTCTTAGGGCGAGATCACAGGAAAGGCAGTGTGAGATCAGACATTCTATTCTTTTCACGTCGTCCTCCTCTTTCTCCTGTGTACTAGTATATCTGGTGCTCAGTACATGCTGCCACATTTTTTCTGAATTTCCAGCCTTCCTGAGGCCATTATTTCCCAAATGAGCTTAGGATATTATTGTTCAAACTGATGGATTCAGGGAATCCTAACTGAGAGACAAGTTGTTCAACCTTTTGCATGTCCGGGTTTTGTTTTCAAATCTGACTAGCATGAAGGAGAGGGATGGATTTGGATTTGGATTTGGTGAAATTATTTCTTTTACAAAACAAAGGTGAATATTTCTTTTCTCACCCAAATACAGTTTTACCTTATACAGGGTGTGTGTGTGTGTGTTGAGGTGGGGGATGTTTCTGATTGACTTAACTTTGAAGGAAAATTTAATTAAATAGAGGTATTTTACTGGATTTGCTCTGTTTAAATCTAGATAATCCTTTTTTTCTCTTCTTCCTCCAAAGCCATTTTGACAGATACCATCTTACTGAGGACTCCTAGGTGCTGAGTTCTGTGCCCGGGGCCTTGGTTGGCTTTCAAAAGCCTGAGATCCAAGGGACTGCCTGGGGTCACACAGCATGACTCCAAAGCCCACTGCCCCCCCCCCTTCCCCCCCAGTTCCCATCATCCCAGCACCAGACTGTAGGAGTAACCCCCCCAATACATGTGGGGTCTCAGTTCCCAAGTTAAAAACCACGCCATGCTGTCTCTCCATATGGCTGAGGATTTCCGTTCACCTGTTCTCCTCTCTCCTCACGAGTCCAGGACCCAGGTGGCAGAAGGAGGCCCTGCTTGGTGTGTTTTAAGTGAGTGCACTGTCCTAGCTCCTGGGCACTGCTGTGTCGCTGGTGGCTGAGTGCAGGCAGGGAGCAGGGAGCTGGGTCTGAACGGAGAGCCGTTCGCTGGGCCGCAGAGCAAAGACGACCCAGCCCAGTGGGAAGACGATTCCTCCCGCCCAGGCAGCTGGCAGGCAGGATGAAACATGCCAACCTGAGAGCTTCCGGGGGCTGCCCAGTGCCGGCCCCTCCTGCTCGTTAGTCTGCACCGGGGGGTGCAGCTGCCAGGGTAGGGGACTGGGAAATAGGGCTCCATCCAGGCAGTCAGTGAGTGAGAGATCCAAACGGGATTTCTTTCTTTCTTTTCATTAAAACAATCCTAATCTCAGAACCGCCTCCCGTGATATCAACTGTTCAGAACCCCAGTGTTAACAGTTGGTTTTGGGTCTGTGATCGTTTTCCTTCCTTGTGACTGAGTATCATTTTAATGCCAGCGAGGAGGGCAGGCTCACCCGCCCCTCTCCCGCCCGATGGCAAACACAGGTGATGGGGTTGGATATTGTTATTAGCGATCATAAATACCTCTGGCTGCTCATTAACCAGAGGGCAGCTGCTTCTATTCCCGAGAGCTGGCTCAGGTCACCGGTGCCTCCGACCCCAAGCCCACTGGCAAGCGATGCTGTTGCTCTGATCCCCGGGCTCAGGGTTCAGCACTCGCTCAGCCCAGCTGTGATGAGCGGCTGCCTCCCGCTCCCGTTCTGGTTTTCATTTGACGGGAAGGTTTTCATTTGGCCTATTTAATACAGCTGGTGGGTAAACAGCACATGAGGCGCTGAGCTTACGTAAAACTGTTTTCCCAGCCTCAGAGTCACTTCCCGGTCCCAAAGGAGGAAGCTGGAGGCTGCTGTTGTCTTGCCTCGTGGGCTCAGGAGGTTTGGAATAGTCCCAGCTCCTCAGGCCACTCCCCGGGGGCCCGGGACCTGGCCTACGCTCCAGCCCATTCATCCTCGGGAACATTACCCATAACATCGCATGACGTGCCTTGTACAAGGCTCTGCACGGCAGGTTTATTTTAGAATTTAGTGCCGGGCTGTCCTCGGTGAAGAGCTGCAGGAAGCCTGTCGGGTTTGCCAAAAACCTGGGTTTCCAAAAGACTCAAGAGAAATGGGCCGCCTGGTTCTAGTAACTGTTAAGTTTTATGGCTACACATGTGTTCCTTCCTCTTCCACACTCTGATCTGCTTGATCCTTCCATTTTAATGGCCATCGTTGAGGGGCTGAGTGGAGAGAAATGGTTATTGTTTGGTTTGTGCTTTTCCTGGGAGAGGCACCCTCTGCCTGGGGCTCTCCGGGGAGGAAGCGGGGAGTCTGGAACCCAGGGAGGCCTCCCTGATGGTGCTCCCCCAGGCTCCTCTCCCCCGGAGGCCCGCTTCCTGGCAGGTCCAGAGCTTTCAGGGCAGGCCACTGAGGGAGGGAGCAAGACCTGGCCAGGGGTTTGACCAGAGCCCAGCGTGGGCCCAGTGCTGTGTGCCTGCTCAGCGATTCTCGAGTCCCTCCTCCTAGACACGACGTCCTCTGGGGCTCCGGGCTCCTAAGTCCTCGCCAGAGCTCCCCCTCTTTGTAGGGGCTGCTCTTCCCGAGAGCCCTGGGCCTACAGGTTTGCTGATAGGAAGGAAAGGAACAGAGGGCTTTCAGCCAGAAATCCCGGACTAGAATCCCAGGTTAGACCTCCACCGATTCCGAGCCTCCCCCTGGAAGTGGGGGTGACGGCGTCGGCCTCGGAGAGTGCGGGAGGATTGATGGGCTCCCAGCAGGCACTCCCAGTCGCTCAGCGCTGTCTCCAGGGCCTCTTCCTTTTCCTCCTTCCCTCCTCGGTCCTGGCCCCCGGGCTGGAGCACAGCTGCAGAAGTCACCCGACCCCCGGAAGCAGATGCTGTACAGCTGCAGCGAGACCCTTGCCTCTGTGCTGCCGGCCTTTTATGGTCTCTTGGCGTTTTGTGGCCTCACATCCCATAGCAACGAGATTTCTAAATGTCTTTCTCTCTCTCCAGGCCTGCAGGTCTTCCTTCACTTTTGGGAAAATAACCTCCCACTTCCTTCTTTCCTCTCTTTCCCCTGTCTCTTTCTCCCTCTGAGACAGAGGAGCCTGCCTCCTCCTTCCCCCCCCAAAACCCTATATGCAGGGCATCTCCCCTGCCACCCCCTCTGTGCCCTCACAGCCCTCTGGTTGAGGCTGTCATCCTGTCACCCCACGGGAGTTCCAGAGGGAGGCGTTCTTCCTGGCCAGCGCCTCCCCAGCCCCTGCAGCCTGGCTCCCTCTGTGTCAGCCTCCCAGAGCCAACTTCTTGCCGAACCAGGTGCTTCCTTCCCTGCTCCTTCTGCCTGACCTACTCAGGCCTTGCCCCTCTTTGCTTCTGGGACAGGACAGCATCCTGGTTTTCTGTCTCCCCTACCAGGCAGGGCTCTGGATCCCCCTCATTCTTCATGTGTTCTCCTTGGTGAGCTCATCTGTCCTGTGGCTTCATGTGGCGCCACCCCGTCTCCACACCTGCACCTGCAGCCGCTCCTGGACCCTCGGGGTGATGGGGACAATGACTTACCTACTTCCTGGGAGCTGGTTACCTGGGTAACACTGTCACACTGCTCTGCACGTGCTTTAGTAGGTGTTCGCTGCTGCCACCTGTTGTGTGGGCCCCGTGTGACGGCCCTTGTCTACCTCCCCCTCATCTCTCTCTCTCTCTTTGACATTTTTTTTTCTTTAATTTCTTTATTGATTAAGGTATCGCATATTTATCCTCAATGCCCCATTCCAATCCCCACTCATGCCCCCACCCCCCTATTGTCCTTGACCACTGGTTAGGCCCATATGTATGCACACAAGTCCTTTGGTTGATCTCTCCCTTTTATCCCCACCCTCCCTCTGAGGTCCAACAGTCTGACCCATGGCTCCTTATCTCTGAGTCTGTTCTTGTTCATTAGTCTATGTTGTTCACCATCCCCCTGATCTCTTAACCTACACCCTGATGCCACCATGACAACTCGGTCCTTCCAACTCTTCCAGCAGCCCGTCCTCTCTCTGACCTCGTGCTCCTTCTCATCGGGGTCCCCGTTTGGAAAGCTGCAGTTCCTTTCCTGCCCCCTTCCCCACCCAGCCTGACACAGGCACTCAGTTAGGTCCCAGGTAGGGTCCTTTCTCTGGAGAATTTCCCTGGCCTTCTGTGTCTGGCTTGTGGCCACTGCTGTGCACCCTGCCCCAGCCCCCCGTCCTTCCATTGCAGTAACACTGACCAGGACAAGTCCGTGCGTCCCCCACGAGGCTGTAAGGCGGGTGGGTGCTCTGTCGGGCTTTTTGTCCCCGTGTCCCAGGGCTGATAGTATGGTCTGAGCAAACAGATGCACCCACCCATCCTTCCCGGCCACCCCGGTGCCGGCACACACATGGGTGCTCACAAACACACTCCCCTCTCACCTGGACAGAGCAGTCTGTTCTAGGGACATTCCAGAATGTGTGGAGAGCCTGTGGATGGAGGAGGGGTCCCCTGGCTTCCTCGGAAGGGGAGCTGCCAGCAAAAAGGGGAGGATGCTAGCGTGTGCTTTCACTGTTGTAGGCCAGCTCCAAGGCTTCCCGTTCTGTTTGTTGTTTTGGGAACTGGAAGTCCTCCTCCCAGAGGTGAGAGGACCAAGGTCACAGCGAGCGGAGGGAAGCTAGGCTGCTGGTCTGGCCTGTGAATTACTTCCCATCGCGGTGAAAGTTTCACTGTGTCCTCTGCGAGGCCCGGCCTGCACCCAGGGGTGTGAACAGAACACTCTCCCCCAGGGGTGCACGTCACGGTCCCGTGGCCCAGCCACGTGTGGTGCCATCAGCTGGCTCAGCCACGCTCGGAGTGGGGCTGTGCGCCCGCATTCGTTACCGTGCCTTTGTGCTCATACAGCAATTGTAGGCGTCCTCCCTCCCGCACCCGCTCCCACCATGTGACTCGAGGGCTCTGGGCCAGGAGGAGTGGGAACGGGCCGCAGGTGAGTGTTACCTGCTCTGCCCGCTGACCCCTGGCGTGGCTGGCGTTGTTCCCTGGTGTGCACAGCCTGGGCGGACTGCCTGCCTCCCCAAGTCTTGGGTTTTATGTGGCAGCTGTAGTTGAACCCTACATCTGTGTGAGGCCCTTTCACTGAGTTGGTCTAGAGCAGTGGTCAGCAAACCGTGGCTCGCGTGCCACATGTGCTCGTTGGCCCCTCTGGTGGACAGCCCTGGAGCAGGTCTAGGGCCCCTCTCTGATGGACAGCCCTGGGAGCAGCTCTGGGGCCGCTACCTATGACGCACTTTGTTTTGCAGCTGAAGCCCCCCTGGGGGTGAGGAACAGAGGTGCGGGATGTCCAGGCAGGCGACAGATGTCTTTCTTGACTCCGCCTGGCGAGGCTCCTTTCCTGCTAACAGAGAAGAAATCTGAAGTAATGCGTGGCCTTTGCCAGCTCACCTGGAGCTGCCCTGTGCTGTTGCTGAAGAGGGGGGAAGTCTCGCCGCGTTTGAGTGTGCTGACTGTGGAAGCCTCTCTGTGGTTTGAGCTTGTAAGACAGCAGTCGGGGCTCCGGGAACACCAGCTCTGCCTGCTACCAGCTGTGCGGTTTTCGGGCAGGTTGGGTGACTGTCTTGTCCCGGTTTGCCTGGGACGGTCTCAGCCTTAGCCTTGGAAGTCCTGTGTCCTGAGCATATGTTGGTCCTGGGCAAGCCGGGATGGCTGGTCACAACACAACTTGAATGACCTTTCCAAGCACTGACGCCCTTGGCAGAGACGGTATTGCCTGTTTCTTAGGCTTATCCCGGATGTAACAGGATAGTGTGTGTGGAGTGCTCGGCGGGTGTCTCCTGCTGTCATACAGGGCCCAGAACCACAGAAGTTTGTTGTCTGGGTTCTGGAGGCCAAGGTCTGAAATCAGTGTCCATAGGGCCGTGCTCCCTCTGGGCCCCTGCTGGCTGCTCCCTGGCTTCTGGGAGTTTGCTGGCAGTCTCTGTTCTTGGACGTGTTGATGCTGCATTATAATTCTCTGTCTTCTCATAGCGCTCTTCCTGCACCTCTGTCTCTGCCTCCAAATGTCCCCTTTCCTAAGGACCCGCCATTAGGTTGGGGCCCACTTCGTTTTTACTTGGTTACCTCTGTAAAGACCCCATTTGAAAGGAGGCCACATCTGAGGCACCCAGGGTGGGGGTCAGGACTTTACTGTATCTTTTGGGGGACACAGTGTGACTCACAGCAGCGGGGCTAGCGATGGACTGTCTTTGCTGTGTGTATCATTATCTTCACAATCATCGAGAAACAAGAACATGAGAAACAGCTCCTGCACCCAGGAAGGGAAAAGGCAGGAGGCCCGTCATGCCACAAAGAGGAGCTGGCTGGGATTGCAATTCCATGAGTGAGCCGTCTCAGTGCACAGGCTCTGGGCACAGCCCCTCTGACCCCCGGCTTTTGCTGTTTTGGTGCAGATGGAGCAGATGAGGAATGAGCTACTTCAGGAGAGAGCTGTGAGGCAAGACTTGGAGTGTGACAAGATTTCCCTGGAGAGACAGGTGAGGGCCACTGGCCCCGTGAGCCCTCCCCCCACCCCTCCTTTGCACAGCATGCAGAGATATCGGGGGCCAACCTTGCCCAAGAGAGGTATTTCTAAAATTATTTCCAGCGAGAATTTTCTCAGTAAATGTTAAATATGCTTGGGAGTTTACAGGTGGGGGAAGTGGAATTGCAGGTGTTTTCTGTATGCTAAAACAGGCTAAATTCTAAGGTAAAGGGAAAAATAAAGAACTTGTGTCACCAAACACACAAGCTGCTAACCAAGCTTACTTACTCGTTATCTCTTTCACATGCTGTTCATGTAAGTTCTCCACGGAATATGACGTGTGATATTGGGGAAGGGGCTATTTCTCCTGCCAATAGGTTTATGAGAGGTCAAGATCCCTTGTCTGATAGGAGTCCTAGACCATGGCAAAGATTTCACTCCGGCTTATAAGCAAATGTGACAGAATCTCTCCTTTTGGCCTGCCAGGACTGGGGTGCAAAGCCATTCCCTGGAAACACCCCTGGCTCCCCAGGTCCCCCCGGGCCACCCACCCTGGTGGGGGAAGCGGGTTCATCGCAGTCACTGACCGAATGCTGACTCCACCCGTGATCTGCTCTGCAGAGTGTGAGGTGGACACAGAGCCCCTCACTGTCTCCCTGTCTGATTCCAGAACAAAGACCTAAAGAGCCGGATTATGCACCTGGAAGGTTCCTACCGGTCCAGCAAAGAGGGGCTGGTGGTGCAGTTGGAGGCCAGGATCGCAGAGCTGGAGGACCGTCTGGAGAGCGAGGAGAGGTGAGCCTGCCCAGCTGTGGTGCGAGGCCTGGCGGGCGGGGGCCAGCACATTGCAGAGTGCTTTGCCTTTGCATCTTCCCGGAGGCCTTCGTGTGAGGAAGGCAGAGCAAGCTCAGCCTTGCTGTTATTATTCCCACTTGACAGATGAGAAAACTGAGACCCATCCAAGGAAGTACTTGAGAAAGGTAGCCTGAACATCGGTCTAAAACTTAGGACTCCTGCTCTTAGTCCATAGCATTTTCTCTGTTCCTTGCTGCTTATTTTCCTCATAAATTACAGAGTTTGAGCCAGAGGCATGGGGGCTGGCTCTGCTCTGAGGACCAGTGTATTCACTCAGCTTAGCAAAGGCCGAGCGGCCATCTGTCAGAGATGGCAGGTCGCCCCACAGTGGGTGGGAGGAACATGGGATCAGGCGACCACACCTTTCCAATACCATGATTCTTTGCAGCTAGTTCTCCCTTTGCAGCCCGAGGACCAGCACCAGGTTGAACTTGACCAGCCTCAGTTCTTGCTTGTGGCCCCTCTCCTTCTGAGAGGGGTGTGGGTATGACATTTCACATTCTTTATTAGCAGTAGGAATTCTGGAGGCTGGGCTGGAGCAGCCTATAGTTGTAGCCTGGCAGTGACCTCTGTCTTACAAAGTAAAGCTCAGGACAGGAGGATCCCAGGGCAGGTCTAGTCCCAGCTCAGCCCCTTGCTGGCTCTGCAGCCGGAGGCAGGTCACTCCCCTTCTTAGAGGTCCCGTGTCCTCATCTGTTAGATGACCAGCCCTTTCCTCCTGCAGTCGAGTGTCTCTCTGACCCTCAGCCCTGAGTGGACCAGGCAACTCTGGCTGGGGCTCGCCCTCCTGCACAGCCTGGGCCGGGCCTCTGGTGGGGCTGGCCTGCGAGAGCCCTCCGTTTTGCTTCCCCCATCCTTCCAGGGACCGTAACAGCCTCCAGCTCAGCAACCGCCGGCTGGAGCGGAAGGTGAAGGAGCTGGTGATGCAGGTGGACGATGAGCACCTGTCGCTGACTGACCAGAAGGACCAGGTGAGGGGCCCTCTGCAAGTTCATTTCCGATGAGCCTGCATGTCCCAGGCTGGGAAGCCAGAGGGCAGCGAGGCCTCTGTGGATGGCGAGGGAACTGTGGTGGACCTATCCCTGTCTTTCCACGCCACCCCGTTCCCCATAGAATGGGGTCCCTCTGGGCTGCTTTAGTGAAGGTCTCAGCCAATTGCAACCCTGAGCTTGACTTGTAGAACGCGATTGGTCTGTCACAGAGCTTATCTCCGCTTTCCCATGAGACTGGTTGGACCCCCCGCCCCGCATGTCGTGGTTGCCTAGGGAGGTGGCTGGACCGCTGGCCTGTCCATGCTGGGCTCTTGTCCATCCAGCTGGGCTGGTGAGCAGCAGCACTGATCTGCCCTCTCTCCCTATGCAGCTGAGCTTGCGCTTGAAAGCAATGAAGCGCCAGGTGGAGGAGGCCGAGGAGGAAATCGACAGGCTCGAGAGCTCTAAGAAGAAGCTGCAGAGGGAGCTGGAGGAGCAGATGGACGTGAATGAGCAGCTGCAGGGGCAGCTCAACAATCTGAAGAAGAACATAAGGTGGGCAAGTGCGGAGACCCCACAGGGACATTTGAAGAGAGCTCAGTGCTTTTAGGCCACACTCACTCCTATTGCTTCAAGCCGGTTTACTGTCGCCTTTCGGGGTCATCCCATCTACAGACGAGAGTGCCTGTGCCCACTGCAGTCTCCCCACGTGCTCAGTAGGGTCTCACATGGGTCATCCCCAGACCAATGCCCCAGTGCCAGCCAGGCAGATACTGTCCCTGTTGTCCAACAGGGAAGCTGAGGCTCAGAGCAGGTAACACTAGCTCCCACCGCCCCGGAGCGGGCAGCTCCTCGGTCAGCCCTTAGCACTCCTATGTACACGTAACTTTGGGAGAAATAGGGTAAAGTTTTGGGGTGCATCCTCATGGGGACTAGGATATCCCTGGTTGCAGGAGAGAATTGCCTGTACAGCCCCACCTCCGTGATCTGAAGGTGGGGTGGCGGTGGCGTTCCCTGCAGGGTCACTGCCGTGGGCATTGGGGTTGGGGTGGGTTAGGTTCTCGCCCCCCGTGGAGTGGAGCCTTTCTCGGAGGCTGACTGTGCTGGCGACACTGGTAGTTCTTTGATTCCAGAAGATTCCAGCCCCTGGAGAATCCCATCCACAGGGCTTGTCCAGGGCCAGCATTAGAGGACAGCATTTAAGGGGGCACAAAAATCTCAGTAATCAAGAGAGATAATATTAAATGCGATATATATTTTTTTTAAATGCAAAAAAACCCTCCATTGGATAAGATATCAAAAATTTAAGATGGGCCGAAACCAGTTTGGCTCAGTGGTAGAGCGTCGGCCTGTGGACTGAAAGGTCCCGGGTTCGATTCCGGTCAAGGGCATGTACCTTGGTTGCGGGCACATCCCCAGTGGGGGGTGTGCAAGAGGCAGCTGGTCGATGTTTCTCTCTCATCGACGTTTCTATCTCTCTCTCTCCCTTCCTCTCTGTAAAAAATCAATAAAATATATTTTTTAAAAAATTTAAGATGGGATCAATAATAGCCACCTGATGAGCCACATCGGAGCTTGAGACAAAAGGGAAACTCAGCACTACTGACCTTGTCCCTGCCCCGCCCACCCAGCCAGTGGCTTCTGTGCTGAGAGCTGGGCATTGGCTCCCTGTTAGTTGAGGTAAATTCACGTGCCCCCTTCCACTCAGCGGGGTGGAGAGGCAGGAACCCAGCCCCTCAGCCCCTTCCTCCATCTCCAGATCGGGGTGGGCCCCAGGGCGGGGACTCACGACCTCCCTGTCCCCGCAGACTGAAGAAGCTGCCCAGTAAAGTGCTGGACGACATGGACGACGACGACGACCTCAGCACCGACGGGGGGAGCCTCTACGAGGCGCCGCTGAGCTACACCTTCCCCAAGGATGCCACCAGCCAGCTCTGAGCCCACTTCCGGGCTGTGGAGGGGGCTCACGTGGCCGTGCTCCGCCCAGGGACCCTCAGCCGCGGCAGCAGGAGGCCGGGGAGGCCGCACCCGTCCTCCGGAGTGGAGACCTTCGCTGCCTCTTCCCATAACCTGCGATTCCTCCACGCTCCGCTCCGTTCAGGGGTGTGTGGGCGAACTTGGCTCTCCCGTCTTAGGGAGCTATTGCAGGGTAATGGCTGAGACACCTGAGGCCCGGCAGCCACCGCCCGCTGGGGTGCTCTGGAAATATAATTTGTCAGCCCAAGTCCCCTCTGTACCGCTGTCCGCATTGCTGCTCCTGCCCCCTGCCCTCCCCCCGCCAGGAGAAAGCGTCCACATGCTAGTTACTGTTCAGTAGCCGCTGTGCACGGTGGGAAGTGATGCTCAGGCTGTACATATTTTAAAGCAGCTTCTCATGACCGCTGCTGTTCCGTTCCGGGATGTGACAGAGGCTTCCCGGGGGCTTGTCTGTCAGGTTCACACGTCTGTATTGAGTATTATTTTTTAAAAATGTGAAGCTACTAGATTCTAAGTATTGAGGAGCAGAGGCACGAGAGAGAAGATAGAATGAAGACCACGTGGACATCAGAGCTGGAGAAAAGGCATCGGCCTGGTGTTAAGGGACCGTGAACCCTGAGAAGAGATACTCAGGGGGTCTCCGTACACAACTTCCTGACGGAGGAGCGAGTCAGGGGGTCACTTGTGTCCATGGCCTCGGTGGTTCATTTTGTCTGGAACCTTGTGATTTCTGAACTGGGCTGAGACTGGTTCCCAGGCACCACTTCTTGGGGAGATGTGCAAGTAGGGCTTCTGACAGGTGATGTGGTTTCTGGAACTTGGGGCTGGCCTGTCATTTGTCATTGGTCCTCTCCTCCCTCCTCCGACAGCAGGCCTCTGTGTTGGGCTCTCCGGTCCTTGGGCAGGGTGGTTGCTGGATGGGGAAGAGGGGAGGATATGGGTCAAGGCTCATGGACTTAGGGGCCAGGAAGAGGCAGGAGGTATCCAGTAAGGTCACAAGGAAAGGGGGAAGGGAGGAGAGAGAAGCAGGTGTGTGTGGGTTTGGGTGGGAAGGAAGAAGTCCTTGAAAGCTGGGGGATGTGTAGATAGGAGGTGGATTGAACAGGATCTCAGGTTTATGTCAGGAAAGGGAGGAAAGAAGCTGAAACCAGATAGAGATGTGTCTGAGCAAACGGGGAGGCTCTTTCCAACTTCCAGGGGCAGAGGGAGGGACATCAGCCAGCACCAGGCACGGAGTGACTGCCATTAGGTGCCGTCTGGGCCAGGCCACATTGCAGGGACAGAATTATAGGGAGCAGGCATGGCACTGGGAGGGTGCAGGGTATCCCGTCCTTCCTCCTGGCCATCCTGGTGTCTCCTCCCACTGTGCCAGTCCCCAGGCACACCCAGAGGCCAGGGCCATCACATTTGGGCTGCCATCAGTCAGGGCCAGGGAGAGGACCCTGTGAGTCATGGCCATGGGTGCAGCAGAGATGGCAGCGTTAATCTGCTTCAGAGGCCCACGCATCCGAGAGATGGGAGGCCTGTGCACCGGAGAGTTCCATGACGGCTGCCATGGGGAGAAGCCTGGTTTAAAGGCATGTGTTAACGCTACACACACACACACACACACACACACACACACACACACTCACACATGCACACGCACACACACACACACACACACACACACAACTGAGGCCCCTGGAGCAGGAGAGCCAAACCTTCCGCCACCTCTGGTTTGGGCTGTGGAGAAATTCCTCCCTTTAGCAGTTGATTCATTTACAAATATTTATTGGGCATCTACAATTTGTCAGGCCTGGTCCTGGGCACTGGGAATAAAACAGTACATAAAATGGATCAAAATCCCACTCCTACTGCAGCACAGTCAGGGGAGAGGGCGTGATAGACAGCAGACACACAAACAGACACAGGGGCCGAGCCCTCCATACCTAGCCTGGCTCCCGCTGTCCTCTCGGGATGCACCAAGCCTGCAGGTGGTCAACTCCAGGGTTCCTTCCACCCTCAGCAGGTCCCTCATTCCCCCGCTGCTCCCACCATGCTGAGGTATTTGCCAAGAGGCTGCCTGGTAATGCCTCAGCCCACTCGTAGCTGAGGCTGGGCGGTGAGAAAGCTCTGAGGCCCAGGAGCTGAGGGAGCCAGTGAGTGTCCGTCTTGGTTGGTGAGGAAGTCCCTGCCCCTCACGTTGGCAACTTCCTTCTGGTTCCCATGGGCTGGCTGCGAGAATGGAGACCAGAGCTCACCATTCACCATTGCATCCTTATCTAAGAAATGGGCTGTTTTGCATGCTACATGTGCCCTTCTACACGGTGTTGGAGCCGGCAGTGACCTCGGTGCCTGGGGGTGGAGGGTGGGGGGTGAGGATTGAGGTGGGGGGAGTGGGTACTGGCCTGGACGTTAAAAGGGGTATTTCCAAGTCCCAGTTTATCTTGCCCTGGTGATCCCGATGGGGCACATGCCTGCGGAGCCCCAGATTCCCAGAATAAATGAGGACCAGAGCCCAGACCTTCCCAGCTCTGGCAAGCTCTCATCTTTTGATTTTATTATATACACATGATTTTTGTTTGTTGTTTTAAGGACTAACCCTACTCAAGAATATATTCTTTAGCTAGCTTGAAAACAAAATATATTTTATTTAATAAACAAATACGTGGCCAAATGCAATGCCGAGGAGACAATCACCCTATATCTTTATAATTGTTTTCCTGCTTCTGAGAGTCATTCGACAACGCCGGTCGGCTCCTTCCGTTGGGTTTCCGCACTCTTTGGTTTGATTGCTGAGGTGTGTCATGGGAAGAGATGTTCTGACGTAGCTGCCTCATGTAAGTGAACTCCTGGATCAAGCAAGATTGCCTTTCAATAAACCGTATCACCCGACAGGAATCTCAGCGCTCCCATTATTTGGACTTCCTTGTTTTCTCCAGAGCGGGGCTCTGTGTCTGCCAAGAAACAGCCGCAGTGAATGGCTGGAAGCTGCTCCAGGAAGTGAAGTACGGTGGCATCCCAGCCTGAGAGCCGTTTCTGAAGCAGAAGGGTGGGCGTGGGTCAGGGTGAACTGGGAGAGTGAGTGTGCCTGGGTGCCTGTGATGTGCTGAGAAGTTCAAACTGCCCATTTCCAGCAAACGGGGAAGTGTGTTCATAACTGAGAATAAAGAGGCGGCTCCTGTTGACTCCTTGTTCCTAAACTAAACTTGTTCTCTTGTCATCAGTTTGCACATAATCTCTCACCTTTTTTGTTTTTGTTTTGTTAATCCTCACTTAAGGATATTACACCCACCCCATTGACCATTGACTTTTAGAGAGAGGGAGAGAGAGAGACATCAATTTGAGAGAGAGATTGATTGGTTGCCTCCCACATGCATGAACCTGCAAAGCTTCAGTGCGGGCCAATGCTCTAACCACTGAGCACACTGCCTGGAGCTGCACATATGCTCTCTTGATTTATAGCAGGCTGACAGCAGGTGCCATGGTCTCCCATTTTATAGGAAATGAAACAACAAAGACAATTAGGGAAAGACAAGAAGACATAACTGGGCAAGTAACACAGCATGGCACTGGGAAGGACTTTGGTTTGTTCTGTTGAGGAATTTGTACTCCCACCACCAAGAATTATCAGTGATTAACGTTTGGTCTTGCCTGCTTCACCTTCTCAAATAAAAGAAATACAACATTGGGATAGGGTTGAAGACTCGACCTTTGTTCTTCATTCCCTACCTCATTTGTTTATTTTTCCATATAAAATAAGGCAACTATATTACCCCAAATCTGGAAAGTAATCCCACCAGCCTAATGCAGCCATCAGAAGCATGCTAGTGCATTTCCTTCCAGTCTTTTTTTCTATGCACTTTTTAAAGATAACTACAGTCATGGTGTTTGTGATTAAGTGTGCTTTGTTGCCACTTAGCATTAGAATAAGTATGTTTCCTGATGTTAATCTTTATTATGTTTTAAAATGCTGCTTAACATCCCATCGAGTGAATTCCACTTGGTTAATTGCCACCCCTATATTATTGGATGTCTAGAATTCTAAATATTGACTTCCTAACCCATAATTCATCACTAGAAGTGGAATTACTGAGTTATCAAGTGGAAAAAAAAACACACACACACAACTTTAAGTCTATAAATGTTGCCAAGTTGCTTTTCTCAAGGCTATACCAATGTGCACAGACACTAACAATATAAAAACATAGCAGTTCCTCCAGCTGCCCCTCTCATTAACCTCTTCTTGAATAACAGACTGACCTCTTTCAGCAAGTTAACCTCCTTTGTATTGTTAGTGGGGTTTATAAGTATTTTATAAGATGTCCTTTTGTGACTTGTCTATTTTTGTCCTTTTAATTATTGTCTCTCTAAGGCAAGTGTGTTTTTAATTAATAAAAATACAAATAGGATAATTGAGTAAAACAGTGAAAAGCAACACTTTCATCTTTGACCCAGTTTCTCCAGTCCCTATGCAGACTCAACCACTCTTTCTGGTTTCTCTTATTTCTTCCAAGTCCGCTTCTCGATGTTGCCTCTGGGCCCTGGGATTTATGTATCCCACCAGACATGTTCATGGAGAAGTAAATGAAAGCCACTTGAGGGGATTTATAAAAGACGAGAGGCCCAGTACATGAAAATTCATGCACTGGAGCGAGGGTCCCTGAGCCTGGCCTGCCCCCTCTCATGGTCTGGGAGCTATCAGGGGTGAGAAGTGATCCAGTGATCAGGGGAAGGCAACACCCCCATCACACCTCTGCTGCTGCCATTGCTGGCAGCACAAGCCTCGGCTGGCCCTGATTACCTGAGCCTCAGGCAGTCCTTAGTGGCTGGGCAGCTGCCATCTGAGGCTTACCTGTGCCTTGGGCCGGCCCTGGGCAGCCGGGGGGCTGAGGGGACTGGGGGACTCCAGAGGCAGACGCCCTAGTGGAGCTGAGGGGACTGGGCACCATCATCTTGTGGCTATTGGCGCCACCATCTTTGAGGGCATGGCAGTTAATTAGTATATTTTCTCCTTATTGGCTGTGGGTGCCACCATCTTTTGTGAGGGCATGATGGTCAATTAGCATATTCCCTCTTTATTAGATAGGATAGTGAGGTGAGTGGGGCCCTGAACACCCCATCCCCCAGGCCACCCCTCCTGCAGCTTGGGACGACTGTGTACCAGGAGGGTTGCATCTAGGGCTGGACTCATGGATCAGGGAGGCAATCCTGAGGCAGGCTGAGCCACAAAGTTTTGATTTATTTTCGGGGACTGTGGTGCCACAAACATGAAGGAGCTTTAACTTAAAAGGCCAGGGTCTGTCTGAAGAGGCCTTGGCCTAAAGGGATGCAAGCACTCAAACCCCTGTGCCTGGACATCTCTAGGACTCCAGGTGCTGGAGCCCCAGGCTGTGGCCATGTCAACCTCAGACTGCTGAGTTAACTGTCCTTTCCCATTCACCCACTCAGGTTTCCCTCTCTCTTGCTCCCTATTTTGGTGATCATTTTCTGATTCTCATACATTTCTCTCTGGTGGATTCTGGATTCTTTACTCGGACTTCCCACTGGCTGTCAGGTTCTCTTTGCACGGTATCTCTCTCCCCCGCCCCCCCCCCCCCCCCCCCCCCCCAGTGTCAGGGTCGGGCCTGGGTATCTCTTCCCCGCAGGCCCACATAGTCAAAACCATAAATCTAGGTACACCTCTTGGGGACCACTGGGCAAGTGCCCTGGGGGAGAGAAATTATAGGTCCACCCCATCTTCCTGAGATGGCAACAGAAGATTTGGACCTAAGACTCAGGTCTATGGGAGGCAGCATTCCCCACCAGGTGTTAGTAGTGGCTGCAAATGTGGAATTTTCCAAGGGCTCCTTGCATTCTCAGGTTCCCTTCTGATGGAGCTAAGTGGCTGCTGAGATGGAAGGTTTCACAGGGCTGCATGCTGTGAGTCCTGTTGCAACAGTTGTGGTGGCCAGCAGGGGGAGTGGGTGGCCACTTCTGGCCCTGATGTGGCAAGATATGTTAGTGGAGTCCCAAAGAGCACTTTGGACAATACCAACCTTTGTCTTCCCAGCCTGGCCCAGGTCTTCAGGGGTTCCCAAGTTATCCTCATGTTGCACTGTTTGCATTGCACTGATTTTAATGGCAACATTCTTTGTTGAGCTGCTATTTTGTGAGAGAGCCAAAGCTATTCATTTACTCCTTTCAAAGAACATTCACTGTGCCTCACCTGAGCACTAGCCTGTGCTACTAAGCTGAGGACTCAGCCCCTGGACTCAAAGGGATAAGAAATGTCCACTACGGACTAAAAATCAAGGGGCAGAGTCTAAAGCTCTAAAAGAGAGGTATAGATGAACTGTGGTGGTGGTTCATGACTAGAAAGATCATTGTTGGCTGGGGCAATTGGGGAAGGGTTCAGGGGAAATGGTGTTTGAAAGGGTCTTAAAAGTGGGTGCAGTGTTTCAGACCCTTTGACTGAAAATGTAATCTTACAAATGGGTGCATCTGTGGCTGATGGAAGGTTCAGAGTGAACACATGAACTCAAAGAATCAGGCTGGACTTAGAGAATCAGCCAGTTGCCTGAGTTTGGGAATACTTGGAGTTGAGGCTGTAAACTAGGTTTGGGACTATATTTTTGGAACATCTTGAATATCATTCCCAGAAACAGGGAAGCAGTGGGTGTCTATAAACAGAAGATTCTGTATAAAAACAGAGGAGTTGAGTTGTGTGCCTTCTTGTCCTTTTTGAGGAGGTAAAATAATTTTTTAAAAATGGCTAGTGAAATATAGATCTTATAAAAGACATGATCCTTGATCATCAATATGAAGAATCAGCTTCTCCATTTGAGAATTCTCTGATAATCCATTATAAACATCCCAGGGTGCAAATTACTATTTAGTCTAGACCAGATATTTAAAAACTATAAACAAGAACCATCTGGGAAGCATGTTACAATGTAGACTGCTGGCCTCATTTCCAGAATTTCCAGGAAAACCAAAAATTTGATGCTGATGCTACTACTGGTCTGGGGACCACACAGAACCTCTGGATTAAACTTCCCACCTGACCTTTCTCAATAAATCCACTGGGTGGCAGAAGAGAGCACTACAGGTACAACACTGGGTGACCTGGAGTCCTCAGGCAGAGGCAGTGGGGGGCTGTTTCTGTGAGCCTTCAATGTAGGTCTCTGCTACCAAATGATCTTGCAAACCAACCACAGCAGCATGCTCTCCAACATGCAAGAATGCATTATAGGAGTGAGTGCTTGGTGACTTAGATCTTATTCCTTCTCCCGGATGTCCCCAGTCCCAGCTCTACTCAAACACCCTCTGCTAGGTCCTCAGAACCCTTCTCAACTAGAAGCAAAGTCTATTTGATAACTTTCAAGGTCACTTCCAACAAGGTTTCTGTCTGAGTGTAAGGTGACCTAGATCTTGGAAAGGGAACTGACTCATCCAGAATGGACAGGTTAGGCTGCGGATGTGGGGGCCTCCTGAGGTCCTCAAACCATATACCTCATGGTCACTGCCCACTGTGTCTTAGCAGAGACCCACCCTGACCAAGACACATGACTGGGTTAGCAAGGTGTCATCCTGAGTGAGATGCCATCCTGCTACTCCCTGTTATGTCCCCTCTGCTCAACCAAATGTCTGCAATGCCTGCTCCTTCATAAAAGGGTTGTCCTTGTATGCAACACCAATGGCCGTTTGTTGACATGAACCCTTTCAGGAACCCACACAGAGCTCTACAAGTAATCAATGCTACACATACTGCCTATGAGTTGTTGCATGAAGGACATCATCCCTGCCTGGGATCTGACTATTTAGTCCACCAGTAGCCAAAATGGTTGGTACCCATGCCTCAAGACTCAGGGCCAACATGAACTCATACGAAGCCTTTCCTGGTCCTTCATATCCAAACTGTCCCTCCTCTGGGCTCACACCCTTTGTCCTATTGTAGCCCATTCCGGATTGTGGTGAGTTGATGACAGTGGTTTTTCTCTGCACGGTAGGTGGTGAGCTCTTCCAGGGCAAAGACTGCCTCTCATTACTCATCTTTGTGGGAGGTACCTCGTAAAGTGGGTGGAATTGAGATGGTTTGTGTTTGTCTCACATTTTGACAAGTGATCAGGGTTATATTTACCTAAACTTTCTGACTTAGTAAACAAAAGCATATTTCTCTGGGCCCTCCTAGACTTAATAGATCTAATAGTTTTACTTTTACATCAT